GGAGCGTGGGCCCAGGCCGGGGGGCTGCGGGCTCCGCTCCCCGCGGCACGTGCGGGGCTGTGGGCGGGACCCCAGTGGGGGGCGTGCGGGAGGCAGCGCGTCAGTGACCCTTTGGCATCACTGATGCCCCCCCCCTCTGTCTCTCTGTCTCTCTCATTCTTTCAATTCAATAAAGATATATATATTTTAAAACGTGCCATTTCCAAGTGAAACAAAAGAAAAAGTATATACTTTTACAGAAACAGTGAATACTTGTTTCCCAACACAATAACAAAACAAAGTTTGCTGGAGATTGTACACTTGAAATTTACTTTAAAATACCTATAAAAGAAAATTTTAAAAGAATCTTTAGTTGTTGAGTAGTAAGCCCCTAACTGGGGATTGCAGGTGCCAATAATTTGGGATCTTGCTCAGGGACCACCTCGTAGGTCTGTGCAGTCTGAAGTCCTGTCCTCTGGCCAAGGCTTGGTGGGTGACTGAGGGCGGAGTGACCAAATGTCAATGAGAGGTACATAAGGAACAGGACCTGGTGGATAAAGGTTTCTTTTGGATTGCCCCTACTTCACGGGGTATAGTTAATTCTACCTGCTCTGGGTCAAGATCATGTTGCCACTTAAAGGCTTATGATGGGATTGGCCTCTACCCAATCCCCAACCAACAGCGTGGTTTATTTATTCTTGATGTGCTCACTCTATCAGCTTCCAAGCCACCACCTTCTCTCCCAGTTCAGAGCCTGTATCGGCTCCCTTGTTCTGAGTTCTCCAGCGGGGTGTTAGGACTGTCCTGTCTACTGACCTCCCATCCCTTCCCAGGAGGAAGGCAGACCTTGCAGACACAGCCCAGGGCTTCCAGATCTCCCCCAACCCAGTTCCCTGGCTTTTCACTAAAGGGATTTATTTTCCCCTCAAGCACAACTGTAGACCTGCTGTTCTGACTTGGACATTAAAGGCTTTTTATTAATGAGCAGCTGTTCACAGTTGAATGTAGATCATAAAGTCACATTCAGTTCACGATCAAGCAAAACAAAGCCTTGTAGCTCATTGAATGACAGCTTTGAACGGACTCACTGGAAAACAAAGGGTTATCTGATGATGATCATTTTAATGGCTTGTTTTGTTGATCCTTTTATTCTAGGGACTTTTTCCTTCTTTCACTATAATATATTTTAATATTCTGGAAAATTATAATTTATTTTAAAATATCTATTATTACCACTTAATAGTTGGGTCAATTGCTTAATAGAGAAATAAAAAAGTCTGAAGCAGCTTTTTTATTACTTTTCTATTAGAAGAAAATTAACTTTCCATGAAGCATTTAAATAAATATTTTTCATAATATTACTACCACATATCTTCAATTAGTAGTAATTTTTATTGCTAAATACAGGAACACTGAAGATAACAACAATTAAGGGTTAACCAAGTCCCTTCAGAAGAGGCCTGGATAGGAATGAAGGAAAGTAATGGATGTCTTTTACTAGAAATGAATTCAAATGAAAAGGGGGGTAAACCCTTCACGTCTGTGTTCCAGTAGTGAGGCTTGGTATTGTCATTACGTCTTGGCTAATGTCCACATTGTTATTAGAGCTCTAATATAGTTCAGCTATATTATGAGTTAAATGGACAATCTGAGCAGGTCTGGCAATAGAAGGTCATTTTTATTTCTAAGCATAAATGTGTTGAGATGCATTCAATCAATAAAACAATAGTTTATAACATGATCTATCTCATATGTGAGTTGGAAACTTTAAAATAAAACAACACTGAAACAACAATGGAAGCTTAATCCATTCAGCTACAGCATGGCAGTCATCGTGGCTTTTACCTTAAACAAATGAGCCTCAGTTTCCTAATCTGAAAAATTTGGTTAATAATTCTGGCCTTATGGATTTATTTTAGAAAGCAAGTGGCATAATATATGGGCAGATGCATTGGAAACAAAGCAATAACATCAATGAGAGCTTTCACGCATACAGGTTTATCAAGTCCAGCAGAATCTTGTTTTAGCTACAGCAAGAAAAGCAGAGGTGA